GCTTTGTAGGTGATTGTCATTTTATTATTTGTGACTTTCTCTAGTTCCTTTTTTTTTTTTTTTTTCCACAATCAAACTAAATTTTCCATGGATCTTTTTTCCTTGAACTCATGTTGAGTCAACAATTCAGAAATAATATACTGGGTTGAGAAATATCATAATAAAAATGCCAATGGGGTTTCTGAGTCATTAGTATCATCCAGTGGCAAAGACTGTGAACCTTGAATTGTCTGCATTGGTTCCTCATTAATGATAATCCTTAACATATCAATTAGGTTGTTTTCAGGTGCAAGTACAGAAAATTCAAATGTTGTTTAAAAAATAGGGAGATTATTATTTCATATAAATAGCAAGACTAGAGATGGACCGTCTCAGGGCTGCTTAATTTAGAAGCTCCTCATAAAAGTTCTAGATTCCTTTCATCTCTTGTCCCCTGGAATCTTCAGTGAGCATTTGAATCATTTCAAAACTCATCCCATAGTGATAAGACGGCTACTGAATGATTCAATAATTCACTGATGATTTATTTCAGAAAATTATTACTGAATGATGTCTTCATGTTTAGGATTAAAGATTTTATGGTAAATTAGACAAGGTTCCTCATCTTATGAAGAACCAACACATAGTGACCCTGTATAGGGTTTCCAAGGAGTGGCTGGTGAATTTGAACTGCCGACATTGCAGTTCAAACCAACCTTGAGGTTCAATGCTTATCCTACACTGAGGTCAGATAATTGTTAAATGTCACTCAGAGTTACATTAAGTCAACTCAACAGTAAATACTCAAGTATTTCTTTAGAAGTTGGTGAAGTCTCACCTGGTGAGTTGGTCTCTAAATTAAACATGAATGGATTATAGAGATTAGACCAATGGAACTGAAGTGAGAAGAGAAAACTGTTTCAGGCAAAAGGTAAAGCCAGAGCATTTGTCACATGTATGGAAGTGTAAGTATTTCTCTATGACTGGAGCTTCCACTGTGGAAAAGATAGTGAAAAGAGATGAAGGCACTATTAGAAAATCGTAATATTGTGAATCATCACAGTTAAATTTGTACTACAGAAAGACTGGGATGTGGATAATAAAAGATGGAGGATTCAGAAAGTGAGGAGGGAGATCCCAAATCTTACTATAAAAACTGATGTATAATTATTGTAGTCTGAATAAAACTAATTCCAGATTGCATAAAAATAAACAGATGTAATATATAAAAAGGAGGTAAAATTGAGTTTGATTGTCAATTGGGTGTGAAGGGAGAGAAAAACTGAGAAGCCCTAGTGGAGCAGTGGTTAAATGCTAGTTTGCTAATGGAAAGGTAGGTGATAAAATCCACTAGTCCCTCCACAGGAGAAAGATGTAGCAGTCAGTTTCCATAAAGATTAGAGCTTTAGAAACCATACAAGACAGCTCTACTCTGTCCTAGCTAGTTGCTATCAGTCGCAATGGACTTGAGGGCAGTGGGCTTAATTTTGGGTTTTGAGGATAAGTGCCAAGATTCTAGAAGGCTTATGGGCATGGATGAATAGTGTCATCCAACCACGAATGTATGCAGGGTGGATCCTGGGGAAAGATTATAACTCAGCTGAGACATGATCACTTTGGTGAATAATTCAATGGAGATGCTTACCAGATGCTGAAAGATAAGACCTTTGAACTCAGGAAAGAGATCTGGACTGGAGATGAATTATGAGAATTGTTAAAATATTGACAATAGCTGAATGTTAAAGTGTTAAAGTGATTGCCTAGCAAATGATATTTAAGGGAAGGAGATAACAGATAAACTGAGAAGGATTCAGAGAAGCCACTTATTAGAGGTGTAAGAAGAAAATTACAGACAAATCTATTTCAACCATGCCTGGTGTTGCAGAGGGATCCATAAACATATAGTTTCGGGGGGGGGGGGGGGGAAGTGCTTTGAATGTAACAGTAACTTTTCTTGACAAAGACAATTTAAATAGATATTAATGGATTGGGAAGCCAATAGAGGAGTTTGAAAAAATTAAGAGACCAAGTGTAGAAAATGTAATTGAAAGACTTCATATTTGTGGATAGAAAACTATTAGATAAGTAGCTGTAAGATTATTTGAAGCTAAGAGGAGATTGTTTTTTTTACTAATTCCCTGAAGTTAGAATCTTTTGATGATGTCAAAATTTGACTCAGAGATTTTTGTTTTGTTATTTTACACAACACTTTCTGAAGAATCTTATTTTCTTGACAATACTAACAATAAAGTACACTGGAAACAATAAAAAAATGAAGTTTTGGAAAAATGGAAGAATAGAACCAGAAGAATAGAAGAGGAAGAAAAGGAGAAAGTATGTAGAAAACAGAAAACTGTCAAACTTAACAACTGACAAGGAACAGAGGAAGATAAACCAACACAGATGACAGCACAGAGAAGCAATCAACTAGTATGACCTAGATAATAAGGCTTCCCAGAAGCTTGAGGAGAGTGCTTAAAGTAAGAGGTGGTCAGCATTGCCAAATGCTGACAAGTGAGAAATCCAGAGAAGACTCATGACATTTCTCTGTGTAATAACTTACCTGTGATAGCCAACCAAAGGCCAAAACTAGAAATCTAGGTCAAGTCTAACAAAAAAATTGCTAAAAACCACTTAATTTCAACTCAAATATGAATTCCTCTGAAAACTTTCCAAATGTGAGGGAAGCAAATCTCCCTTTCCTTTGTGTTTCTTCAGGGCAGTTCTTTTATATTATAAAGCATATTCCATGGTATCAAAATTCTTTCGTTTCACCTTTTTATAAACCCTTAGAGCTTCAAGAGGACAGAGATTACGTCACACACATTGTGGTCCGGTGTTTGACACAGTAATTAGAAGATAGAGTGTACTCTCTATATATTTATTAAAAGCAAAATATTCTTCTGTACTAAAAAGTGGAGCATCAGAATTTTTGCTTCCAAGAGGATGGAGTAGGCATATGTTCCCTATTCCTCCCAGGAATATTTTATATCTTGACTTTAGCAATTTCAATATCTCAGTCTCATGTAGGAGTCCTGGTGTGGCACTGTTAAATAAGCACTGGACTGCTAATCACAAGGTCAGTGGTTCAAACCAGCTGCTCCTTGGAAACCCTACACAGGGTTGTTATGAGTTGGAAGAGACTCCATGGTACTTAACAACAACAACAATAAAGTCCTCACGTAGACAGACGTTCTCACAAACAATTAAGCTCTCAACTGCTTGGTGGTGGTTTGAACCCACCAACCTACTCTGTCAAAGAATTACCTAGTGGTCAACTTCCATCAAGACGACAGCCAAGAAAACCCTACGGTACAGTTATGCTATGTGTCATCATCAACTCATTGACACCTAAACAACAGCTACAACAATCAAAATGCCCTGTAGTTATCATTAATGAAAACTGAATAAAGGGCACATGAAATCTCTATGTAGTATTTGTTATAACTACATGTAAATTTGCAATTATCATAAAATAAAAATGTTTGATTTAAAAAAAAAAAAAAATGCCTTCAAGCCAAAGTACATAAACAAAACTGTCAAAGACAATTGAAAGAACTCTTATTTTGAAGTCAGACTATCTTAGGGTTGAACTATGATTCTGTAACTTTTTTGTTTAGCTATATAATCTTCATCTGAACAACTGTGGTTGGCGTAAATTGTTTATTCTTAGCTACTAATGTAAGTGTTGGTAGTTTGAAACCACTCAGGGCACTCCAAAGAAAGGCCTGTCAATTTGCTTTAATCCTTATAGAAGTCAAGACAGCAGGTCTACTCTGTAACACATGTGCTTACAATCTGTTGGAATCGACTTAACAGTAAAGGGTTCACCTTTACCCTACTAAACCTTAAATAATTGGTAACCATCATCATCATTATAACCACCACCAAAACACTTACAATTTACCATGTGCCAAATTTACAGCCTCGGAAACCCTGTACAGGGTTGCTATGAGTCAGAACAGACTCTACCACACATAACCATCAATCACCAGTCACTATTCTGAGCACCTTGCATATTTTAGAACACTTAATTCTCTAAATAACCTTATAATGTAGGTTTCATTATTATCTTAAGTGTATATGTTGGGAAACTGAGGCAAAGAAAGAAAAAGTGATTCACTCACTTAAGATCACACAGTAAATAACAAAACATGAATTTGAACCCAGGCAGCCTGCCATAAGATTTGATAGTTTCCTCTAGCACCTATGGGGCTCAGAAAAAGAGTGAAACAGAAGAAAACATATGTCTAAATACTTAGGAGTTACCACTCAAGTTAACAAACTCTTAAAAATACTTGATTATATTGGTGTGGGTTTTTTTCCCCTTTTCTCTGTGACATATATACTTTGAAACCACTTGGAAGTTAAGGTTTGAATTAAAATTCTCAAAACCCTCACAGTTTCACACCATAAGTATGCTGTACCCTCTTTCTCTTTATATTCATGATTTAGTTCAACACTGTGAGAGTTCTCCAGGCTTGTTTGATAGAACACCCTGACCTGCAAATGGAAGTCCACACTCCTTGGATGTAAGGCCATACTAGCAGGCAGAGTATACTTCGTGGAAGAACACTTGAGGAAAAAGATTATGCAAACCCTGGGCACATGAGATTTTGGGTAGTGAATTCCAGGGTCCTCCTTTCCTGAAGTTTGTTATAGAAATGGGGTGATAAGCTCCAGTTAGTATGTGTTCTTGGTTTTGAGAAACCATACTTCTTTTGGGAGGAATACAACTGAAGAAGACCCAGAGCAAGGTTGGCAAATCTACGTGGGTCCAAGTGTACATGGGATACTGACCTCATTTTAAAAGTGATGATGCTTTTATCTTCCACCATTGAACTTTACAGTTAATTGAGATGAAGTTCCACATGCACATGTTGTACATGTAACATATGTGTTATTGTGCTGGACTAGAGAGAAACCATTCTGTTAATATTTGCAGTTTTACCTTAACGTTAGGTAGTTAATTTCCTCATCGTTAATATTTCATTGCTAAAATATATTATTTCTTTCTGTAGATGGACTGAAAGCTTTTACCAGATTTCTTAAAACTGAATTCAGTGAGGAAAATATTGAATTTTGGATTGCGTGTGAAGATTTCAAGAAAAGCAAGGAACCTCAACAAATTATCCATAAAGCAAAAGTAATATATGAGAAATTTATACAGAATGATGCTCCACAAGAGGTATAGTAAAGAGATGATTATGAAAATATACAACTGCTTGAAAATTCTGTTACGCAGTCTGCTTACATTAAACTGTAATCTCATGCATTTCATCGCTAAGGTCAGGATTGTCTTGAAGCAACAGTGATTTTATGTATGTAAACAGGATGTAGTGTAAGATGTTACCATAGCAGGAAAGATATAATTGAACCCATTCCTCAGAGTTATTTTCATTCTAGGCTTGTGACTACATTTAATTACAGGACTTAGATTGATTCATTTTTACTGATTAATCACTTTAGCACGAACAACCGCTCTGAAAATTAAAGTTTTCTATATCTGATGAAGGCAAGAGACATCAACAAGTTATTATCATTAAATTTATACTCATCTCCCTAGAACAAATTTTGTTTTCCCCAAAAGTTTTATTCCTTCTTCTACTTTGAGATAGAATAAGAAATAAGGTTTTATGACATTTAGATAAGGCAAACCTAATTTGGCAAGGGTTCAAGTTAAAAAAAACAATTATTGTTTTCTTTGACTACAAGTAACTGTGTGATGTGATTTCTAAAATGGCTTTGTTGTTGTTGTTGTTAAGTGCTGTCCCACTGGTTCGGACTCTTAGAAACTCTGTATAGGGTTTCTGAGGAGCTAGCTGATAGGGTTTCTGAGGAGCAGATAGTGGGCTTGAACCCAACCTTATTGTTCACAGTCCAGTGCTGATCCTACAGAATCACACTGTAACAAATTTTACTTGATTGTGATACGGTAGGGTAAGCACTGGGCTGCTAACCACAAGGTCACAGTTCAAACCCACCAGCAGCTCCTTAGAAATCCTGTTGTGTTGTTAAGTGCCGTTGAATCAGTTCCAACCCATAGCAACTCTGTATAGGGTTTCAGAGGAGACACTGGTGAATTTGAACTGCCGGTCTTGCAGTTCAACTGACCTTGTGGTTCAGTGCTAGACCTACAGAGCCACACCAGGACTCCAGAAACTTTATGAATTGGAACTATCTGAAGGCACATAACAACCACAAAAACATCCTCTATAACAATAAAGTGTTGTTGTTGTGAAGTACCATCAAGTCTGTTCCAACACATTGTTGTGGTGATGGTGGTGGTGGTGTGCCGTGGAGTTGATTCCCACTCATAGCAACCCTATATAGGATTTAAAGGAGTGGTTTGTGGATTGAAATGCTAACTTTCAGTTCAAACTGACTTTGAGGTCCAGTGCTATCCTACAGCGCTACACCAGGAGCTTTTAAATACATTGGGAGTCCTTGAATGGAGCTGTAGGATAAGCACTGGACTGCATGGTTCAAAGACCATCAATCACTCATCAGAAACCAATTCGGGGTTTCTAAGAGTCAGAACTGACTCCTTGGCACTTAACAGCAATCAGTTTTCTAAGGATCCCTGGTGGCATGCGGTTAGTAGACCCTATGAATCGAGATCCACTGACACAGTAGGGTTTTGTTTCAGTTAGTTGGTTTTCTGGTAGCACTGTGGATTAAGAGTTGGGATCCTAACCACAAGGTTAGGGGATCAAATACACCAGCCTCCCACAGCAGAAAGGTGAAGCTGTCTACTGTAAAGATTCATAGCTTCCAAAACCCAGTATAGAGTTTCCAAGGAGCAACTGGTGAGCTTGAACCGCCAACCTTGCAATTCAAACCGACTTTGCAGTCCAGCGCATAAACCCATATTGCCACACTCGAATGTATTCCATTATTTTAAGTTAGACAGTGAAAAGGACTAGAAGCATGGGGAGAGAAAACTAGATCAAAAGGCATCCCAGAGTAAATTTATCCTTATACTTGTACATAGGAGCCCTGGTAGCTCAGTGATTAAGCTTTTGGGTCAGTGGTTCTAACCCAACAGTCACTCTATGAGAGAAAGGCTTTACCATCTTCTTCCATAAAAATCACAGCCCTGAAAACCTATGGGCAGTTCCACTCTGTCTTACAGTTATTATGGCCTAGCATCTACCCAACATACAACAACAAGGAGACCCATAAAAGAAAAGGCACACTAACATAATATGTTCACTTCCAACATTGCATCACTCCTGTTCTGATGATTTCTCAAAGGTGTTTACTTAAGTAGATGGATTATAATCAAACTTTTAATTTTTTGTTTCCCAGGTTAATCTTGATTTCCACACCAAAGAAATTATTACAAAGACCATCGCCCAACCCACCCTCCACAGTTTTGATGCTGCACAAAGCAGAGTGTATCAGCTTATGGAACAAGATAGTTACACACGGTTTTTGAAATCTGACATCTATTTAGACTTGGCAGAAGGAAGGCCTCAGAGACCACCAAATATTAGAAGACGATCACGCTCATTCACCTGCAATGAATTCCAAGACATAAAGTCAGATGTTGCCGTTTGGTTCTAAAATAGCTTCATCTGGCTCATTTTGATGGCAAACTCCTAAATTGACCTCAAAGATATAGAATGTTTATGCTAACAAATAGGTACATCCTTTGAACTAAAATACAGCATATAAAAATACTTTAAATTTGTATACCAAAACATTAATACATTTAAACACAAAGTATCTGTAAATACATTCTATAAAACTTTTCATTTGTACTGTTTACAACAAAATCAGAACAACTAGTGACCTTAACTAAAAGCCAGTAAATAAATAATGTTTTTATAAGTTAAATAAAGGTTAAGATTTTTAATAATGGCTCTATAGGATAAGCACTGGACTGCAAACCACAAATTTGGCAGTTCTAGCCCAGTTACTATGTGGGAGAAAGATGAGACTTTCTTCTCCTACAAAGATTTAAAACCCTTAGAAGTCTATATAAGGTCTATATGAGTTGGAACCAACTCAATGACACTTAGCAGCAACAAGTTTTACAAACGTTTTAAGTCTGACCCTATATCTAGTTTGAATTGTTTTCTATATATAAACAAATAACTTTCAGATATCTATATTTTCAAACAGCATTTGGCACAATGATGAAGACTCTAAGTTACTAAGGATGTAAATATGCTCCATATCTCACAATGAGAGGATCAACATTCATGCCTTGGTTACTACTCTGGCTCAAGAATAAAAATCTATCACCACTACCAATAGTAACTTTGGGAAAGAACACATTAATCTCTAGAAAACTCTAAGATTAAATAACCAAGGTTGATAATGATAATGGGATCTACATTTGTACTCATGACTATGGACTTATCCAGTTACACAAAACATAACTTTGCTGGTTACAGACACATGACCAGATCATACACAGTTCCAGATTTGAGGCTGAATGGAGCATCTTGTTACCAGTTAACAGCACTTGTTATTAAAATATGGGGTCCGTCAATAGCTTGGGAGATCACTAAAGAGGGGTTATCCTAAGAGCAATCAGGCTTGATTTTGTACTTTTAGAGTCGAGGAATATATTAATAATGAAGGAAAATGAAGAAACAAGAAGTTTGAAGTCCTTGAGATTTATGTATATACCACCTTTTTTTTTTCTTTTTCTTCCTGTAGTATATTCTTCCAACATTCCTGTAGAATCATCTAATACTGTTATTTAAGTAAGAATTGAACTAACAAGTATATAAATCCTCTGTTTTTAGGTAAATATTTCATTGTAGATGTGTGTTGTTTGGTCTGTCAATGTCCGTATGTAAAGATGTCGTATATTTGGCTTTGATAAATGTAATTTTATTTGAACTTTAAAATATAAAAACTTTAGATCATCTGTAGAAATAATCATTTGAATTTCTTCATTTATATTGTTAATGTTTATTTGATTACTGAATACTTTCACTGATTATTATTCTATATGATATTAAATTGTACATGTATGTTTTTCCTTATTTTGGTGTGATACTGGAATGTTGTGTGCTATCAAGTCTATTGTGATTCATACTGATCCTTTATGACATAGCAGAGCTGCCACATATGGCTTCTTAGGTATAGTCTTTAAGGAACCCTGGTAGCATAATGATTAAGCACTCAATTGCTAGAGCAAAGGTTGACAGTTTGAACCCACTTATGGGAGAAAAGATTAAAGCCTAGAAAACCCTATAGAATAGGCTTATTCCATCAGTTTGAACCACTGTGCATTGGAAATAAAATCAATAGCACTCAAAATAACAACAGCAGTCATTCTAGAAGAAGTTCTGGGGGCACAGTGTCCCAAGCAGTTCTGCTAATCAAAAGGTTGTTGATTTGAGCATACTAGCTGATACACAGGAGAAAGTTGTGGCAATCCGATTCCATAAGGCAGTGCTCCTATGCCATGGTTTGCTGTGGGTTGGAAAAGATTCATCAATGCGTTTGAGTTTGGAGGGTAACCTTTTTGTGAGTAGATTCCCCATGTCCTTTTTCTATTCTTTCCCTTACTGAGAAGCTAGTGTATTGGAACTTATCAATTAACCTTTAAGTTGGCAGTCAAATGCTTAAACATTGTGCCACCAATTTCAATTCACATAGAAATTATTTGAGGCATTGCATAATTGGCCTTATTGTTAAATCAATTTTTCTATATTGTTAGGAATATGAAACAAAGCATTGTGCATTTCAAAGATCAACTAAGGAAAAGTTTTTCCATTTTTTCTTTGCTAATTAAAGTTTCTTTTCCTGTGATAGTCGCTCCAGAAATATGAGCTCATCAGAAAAAGTATGGGTTGATTTTAATAGCATTGCTCAAGAATTATAAATATTTATTATTTAGCTTCACCACCAATGGTATTTTTCACAAGCAGTCAGTTTCTTGCTTATATTATTAAATATCCAATAAGAAACTTCAGAAACATAGCAGTGTGTTTTGATGAATTTGCCTAACTTCAAGGAGTCTGCAATCTGTTGAGTGATAAGGTAGAAAAGCAAAGGAACCAAATTTTAAAATGGACAAATAATACAAAATCAAAAACCAAATCCATTGCCTTTAAATCTGTTCTGATGCATAGTGATCCTTTAAGACAGTATAGAATTACCCTATATTTCTAATCTGTAATCTTCACAGCAGTAGATTAGCACATCTTTTTACCATGGAGCAACTAGTGAATTCAAACTGCAGACAATTAGGTTATCAGCTGAGTGCTTTACCACTGAACCACTAGGGCTCCATAAGTGACATGTGATGCAAAAATGCATAGACAGGACTGAATGCAAAAGAAATAGCTTTCATGATTTGAGAAGCCAAAGCATGAGCTCTAGAACTGATGCTTAGAAATTTAAAAACATTTTAAAAGGCCTTAACATTCACATTTTTTAAAAATAAGTCATCAGGATTTTTACTGTTGAATCTTCTCTGGTGTGGCGCTCTAGGATAAGCACTGGCCCTCAAGGTTGGTTTGAACAGCAAGGTTGACTGTTCAAACTCGCTCCTTGGAAACCTTATAGAGAATCACTATAAATTATACCTGACTCAACGGAATTTAACAACAACAACAAATCTGCTTTCTGGTGTGTACTGTCAACGATTCTAAGTAAATCTTCTGATATTCTGTAAATCTGCTCTTAATTAGTGGTAAAGGAGGAAAATAGCCACATAGGTGTGACTAATGAAGGGAGACTTCAGACTAAAAACTAATATGGGGTATTTATCTTAGAATAGGAAATAATTTATAGAAAACTAAGAAAAATACATGAAGGGAAGAAGTCAGAGGAAATCAAATTTGTTTTTCTTTCTGACTAGTTAAACATATAGTAACAGTATGTCTTTAAAGTACTGGATAATAAAATTAAATTGTTGTTGTTGTTAAGTGCCATCAAGTTGGTTCCAACTCATAGCGACCATGTATAGTGTCTCCAAGGAGCAGCTAGTGGGTTTGAACTGGCTACCTTGTGGTTAGAAGTCCAGTGCTTATCCAGATTAGGTAATTTGGGGTTTCCTGAAGCATAAGCATATTTCAACAAAAAAAA